ATGCCCCCCCCCCCCAAGTTATTGGTATCTACAGGAGGAGATTTGATGGCACTGTAGGTCATGCACTCTTCACGATGGTAACCCATACAGTAGGACCCCGCTAATACGGCGCTTTTCAATTGTGTGCATATGCTCCACGCGCTCAACAGCTAAGTCAGAGAAGTGCGTCTGGCACCATTTTCTCGTCGCTGATTCAGTCTGTTTACAGCTACTACTGATATTCATTTTACTTTCATATCGTTTTCTTAGGCCTAGCGCTATTGTGCACTTACTATATGCTGGTGTAAACATCTTATTAGGCTTTGACATGCATTTGCAATTGAAAAAAAGGCAAAGATCCGCTTTTCGGCAGGGGTCTGGTCCCTAACCTGCCGTATACGCGGTGCCCTACTGTACAAACCTGTGTTTAAATGCCAGGTCACACCAAGGTGATCTGCAACCAGGAGAACCTCCAGGCTGAATTAGACTTCTTATTATGAATCTTCATACAAAACAGCTTTGTGACCAGCAGATAGATCATGCTGTTTGCCCCAGGAAGTCAAAACACTACTTGAGGATCCTTCAGTGGCCTTCTTGCCATTTATGGAAACTTCATAAGCTGGATTATTATCCAAGGGTAGCATGAAGGTAGCAGGCATCCAACCAAGGAAAATCCGTGGGTTCCTCCAGCCTGTCAAGGATGATGTAGTTGTTTGAACATCCGGCCTTTACAGCATCTCCTAAGAGTGTTTGAAGGTTTACATTGGACATATTGGCCATTCCATTGAAACCAGGGAAAAGTATCATTGTCACTTCCAGCTTTATCATCTGGATAAGTTAATCTTTAATTAGCATGAGCCACTGGATCCTCGTAAATGACACTAGTATCCTGGTCAAGCAATCCAGATGCATGTACAGGATTGTCAGGGAAGGAACAAAGATTGTACTCCATCTAAAATCAATAACAGTGAGGAATGGTTCTGTCTGAGCAGGTTATGGAAGCTCCTCATTCATACCCTGAAATACTAAATGAAGAAAACTCTCCTCAAGAGCAAGATTTCGTCTTGATCCTACCTGGTCCAACCTTCCCACTTAGTGCCTGAAAAGGTCTGTTTGCTATTGGCCCAGTCACAGCTCCATCTTCTACCCTTTATAAACCATCCAGTTCCTATCTATTCTCAATTTAGCCCTGATAATAGAGTCAGTACATTCCTCTGAAATGCTGGCACACAGCCAAAATACTACACATTGCAACAACCCAGAAGATCATTGATACACTGATGACTATCTGAGTAGAAATCTCTGTTTGGGGAAGTCAGTGTTATGAGATTAGTTCACTTAGCTAGTTTGGATATTAGGAGGCAGTTACTAGTTAATTATTTAACTTTTTGGACAGCAGTCCTGTTGACCATTTACAGTGGAACTCCCCTTCAGTGTTCATTTAGTGTATAATTTCTATGATCATTTCAGTTATCTGTTAAATTTTGCAGAGAAATATCAAATGGGTATTTTAGTGTAGTTAGATAGTCATCTGGCTATTAAGTTTAATTTGACCATAATTTGTTAATGTGTTTGTGTTACAGATTGTGACATGTTCAGACGATGCAAGACATCGGATATGGCAAGTGGGATTTGAGTTTGAGGATAGTAACAATGCTGCACAGCTAAGGGGATGGGCTGAAACACCGAAGATAATTCAAGTAGGTGAAGGAATTACAAATCAGGCTGGAGAAGCAACACCATGTGCCAGCAAAATACGGATTAGCTATCAGGAGAAAACACCTGACTTTGTCTGTTCAGATTTTATGCTACCAGACACAAATTGTTGGAACTGCAACAGCAAGGGGCAGGCTTCAACTCCATGTGCAACATGTTTATGTGTACTTAGGAGGAAGTCTCCCAGGACTAAACGCAAACTTGAAGATTTGCAAGATGCTGGTGTTTGTTGCAGTTCTGGCTTATGCAAGAAGCATGCTGTTCTTTTACCAGTCCGAGAAGGGAATCAGGAAAGCAGGGTGGGGCTGGAAACCCGAGGAGCAAGGAGATTGTTCAGTCCACACAAGCAAAATATCATTGAGCAGTCTTCCATTAGTAGTCAGCAGCCTGATTCAGATATAGGATCTGATACCATTCTGTCTTCACCAACACTGAACCTTCCAAATTATGTTCTTGATGGAACTTCACCACATCATCACTGTAGTCAAAATGTGCAATTTAAGGAGAATGTTAATTGGCTCACAAAACTGAGAAAAGAGAAAATGAGTAGTGGGGTAAAGCAGACTGGTCGAAGTGCACAAGTTACACCGAAACGAAGACTTACACGTTCCCGATCACATGAATTCAGTAAGGGGACCAGTCCAAAAGGAAATTCAGAGACTTTGTGGCGGTTTTTTCGCATAGCAGGTAAACCAAATGGAGAGGCACTAAACTATTCAGGAGCACAGGGAGAGAGTTCTCTCAAAGTTCTGACAGTAGAACCATAATAGTCATAAAGCTCTAGCTGTGTAAACTGTGTAATATGGAATGATTTACTGTATCTGAGTGTGTAAATTGTCACTGAGGAGGCTGGAATACCTGAGATATGTGCTTCCATGAGAGTATGTGTGAAGTTTGATGCTGCTGGCATAGTTTGATACTTGTGAGATGTCCACTCTGTTGCTAATTTTGAGGCATTTATTTTGAAATGTTGCAGTGAATTTTTTTACTGGAATTTTAAGTGATGAAGTAGTAAATTGGTAAATGTAAAGGTACCTCTGTGCACAAGTTTTAAAAGTACATTTATCTGCAAGGTGGTGCCATCTCTTGATGGAGCCTAACAAAATCTGCCTCATTGGCAAAGAAAGGCTTAAGTTCATGTACTGACAGGACCGTACTTACACTTCTCGGGGCCCGAGGTGCTAAGCTCTTGCGGGGCACCCTTTAAAGATACCAGAGGGGGGAGTATATAAATATAATCAGAAAAAAAATTTATTATTTTTACAGATCTGTAAAAATACACAAACTTTGTAATACTGCAAAATATAAAGAACAATACTGAACTAAAGTCTGTGAGGGTATGATGACCAGCCATATGCTTCAGCAGGTCATCACATGGTCAGCACATCGACTCCGATTGCTGTGTTTCTGGCTTTCGTGACCAGTTACCCTTTCACAAGAAGCTCCTCATTTCACATCCTCTTTTTGTAAAAAAAGATACTGTCTTTATCAGGACTGTGCAAATGGGGGGGTGCGCTGAGTGCAGTGCACCAGGGCCCCGATCGATAAAGCACAAAACGTTTAATATTTGTAATTAAAAATAATAATATGGTTTTGTCATTGGTTGCCACAGAAACCTGCACACAGTAAGATGAAAGGAAATATTTGGCGTGGCCCGGTCTCCCGACTTCGTTTACTCATTGCGGCACGGTTTAATATTTTCCTATCTCAAATAAGTAAGGGGACCCCAATTTCTTCTTGCACCTGGGCCTCAAGTACCTTTGCATAACCCTGATATTTGTCATTGTAATTTTTGCATAGTAAAATTGATGTTTCTTTCCCCTACTTTTTGTCAAAATTAACTTTATTGGGGGGCCCTTATATCTGCGGGGCCCCAGGCTGGCGCTTCATGCGCCTGTGCCTATGTATGGCCTTGTGTACTGACTGTTTGGAATTCAGACTGTTGCATGTTGTTATTATGTGATTATTTGTCAGAACCTACATTAAAACATTATTGTACTCAGTTTAAATAGGCACTGTACCCCATGCTGACATTTTAAATTCTTTGCATTTAAATAAAAAGACACTATGAGAAATCATACATATCTTTAGAACCACTTGTGGGCCATTCCATATTAGATTAGCACACATGAGTAGTGCAGTTTTCAAACCAATACCTTTGCGTTTAGAAAATTTGGAAACTGGCGCAACCTGTGGATGGAACAAGTAATACCAAATGTTAGCTGCCTGCTTGTACATTTTTGTTGCAGGCATTTGACAAATGACAACAAAGATGGCCGGCCGCTTGACTGTTCAGGAGCGAGCGCAGATTGCTGCATGCTATGAGGTGTGGAATTCAGTGGTTGCTGTGCAGAGATGGTGGCGTATGGTGAAGGGAAGAAATGCTACAATCCGTCCGGAGACAAGAACTGTCATTCGAAGCTTATGACCACAGGTTTGGTTACGGACGCACGGAGAATTGGCCGTCCATCCACATCCCGATCTGAGGAGAACGTGGCGTTGGTGCGGGAAATGTTCACCCGCAGCCCGCATAAATCAACACGTCTGACTGCTCGCGAAAGCGGACTGTCGAGGCACACGATACGTACGGTGTTAGAAAACATTCTCTGGAGCGACGAGGCCGTTTTCCATATCGGCGGTTTCGTCAGTCGACATAATTGCCATTACTGGGCGGCACACGATCCCGAAGTGACGGTGGAGAAGATGCAAAATCGTCCAAAAGTGACCGTGTGGTGCGGAATGACGGCCACTAGGGTCATCGGCCCATATCTTCTGCATGACAACATGAATGCCGACCGCTACCTTCAGATGTTGGAAGATTAGATATGGCCCATCGTATCTGGCTGGGAAAACATCGATGAACTTGTTTTCATGCAGGATGGCGCACCGCCTCACTTTGCACTTACCGTACGTGCCTGGTTGGATCAGAAGTTTCCGGGACGTTGGCTGGGACGACAAGGACTTCACGAATGGCCTGCAAGAAGTCCAGATCTACGACCTGTGACTCCTTCCAGTGGGGCTGGGCAAAGGAGGAGGTGTATCGGAAAAAACCTCGCACACTGGAACAATTGGAGGTACGGATTTGGGACGTTATCACCAACGTCCCACACGACTTCCCCGGTCGTTTGAGGAAGCTGGTGGATGCCGCCAGTGCCTACATTGAATTTTAAGCTGTGCGTCCATATTCCCATTTAAAAAGGTACATGTAAAAATTATTTTCATTATCTTTGCATTGGAAATATAGAGGTTATAACCATTTCTCAATGCCTACTTACTTCCCACCCATCCTGTAGTTTCCCAGATAGAGGGCTTTAAAATTCTCAAGGTCATACATTCTCACGCTTATTTCTGCAAAACTGTGAATACCTGGTTGACCATACTCATGTCAAAATGAGGTCACGTATAGTTAATGGTCATATGGAAGGCACCACAAAATCGACCCACTAGTTTTCTAGATACCTGTCTTTAAAATTCTCAAGGTCATATAATTGAATGTTTATTTCCGCCAAACCGTAAATACCTGGTTGATCATACTCATGTTATGATGAGGTCACGGATAGACCAAGGACACGTGAAGACCACAAGATCAAGCAACCTGATAAATATTAGCCTAAATCTTTTCAAGGTCATTCGAAATAAAATTTTGTCACGCACATACAAAGTGAACTGTAGGAATCTTATATATTGCACACATCATTTAGAGATCATAGATATGTCAAGATCATTTGTCGGTCATATTATATAATAAGTGCCTAATTTGTGTTGGGACATATTACGTAAAATTAGGGTTAGTGTATGTTGGAATAGGTTAGGTTAGGTTGGGTTATGTTAGGTTGGGCTAGGTTAGATTCGGTTAGATTACGTGATACCCGTACCGCTGAAATTTCGAAATTATAGCTCCTTCAAATTCTCAAGGTCATAAGTTACACTTCTATATCTGCCAAACCGTAAATGCCTGATTCACCATACACATGTCAAAATGAGATCACGTATAGGTCAAGGTCGTATTGAAGCCACGACAAAATCGGCCGAGTAGTTTACTAGATACCCGTCTTAAAATATTCTCAAAGACATATTTTCACGATTATTTCTGCCAAACCTTAAATACCTGGTTGACCATACTCATGTCAAAATAAGGTCACGTATACGTCAAGGTCGTATAGAAGCCACGACAAAATCGGCCCAATAGATTCCTAGAAACGGGTCTAAAAAATTCCCAAGGTCATATTCTCTCGATTATTTCTGCCAAACCTTAAATACCTGGTAGACCATACTCATGTCAAAATGAGGTCAGGTATAGGTGAAGGTCATATGGAAGTCAAGAGAAAATGGGTCAACTAGTGTCCGAGATACGGGTCTTTAAAATTCTCAAGGTCATAGCTTTTCACGCTTATTTCTGCTAAACTGTGAACACGTGGTTAAACATACTCATGATAAAATGAGGTCACGTATAGGTCAAGGTCATGAGGAAGGCTCGACAAAATCGGCTAACAATTTTCCCAGATGTCTTTAAAATTCTCAAGGTCATACATTCTCACGCTTATTTCTGCCAAATTATGCATACCTGGTCGACCATATTCATGTCAAAATGAGGTCGCTTGTGGGTCATGGTCATATGATAGGCATCACAAAATCGACTCACTAGTTTTCTAGATACGTGTCTTTAAAATTCTGAATACTATAATGTTTATTTCCGCCAAACCGTAAATACCCCCTTGATCATTCTCATGTTAAGATGAGTTTACAGATAGGCCAAGGTCACGTGAAGAGCTCAACAAGATCAAGCAAACTGTTTGAGAAATATTAGCCTAAATCTTTTCAAGGTCATTCGAAATAAAATTTTGTCACGCAAATACATAGAGAACTGTAGGAATCTGAGATATTCCACACATCTTTTAGAGGTTATAGATATGTCAAGGTCATTTATCGGTCATATATAATAAGTTCCCAATTTGTGTTGGGATAGATTACGTAAAATTTGGATTAGTTTATGTTGGGTTAGGTTAGGTTAGGTTATTTTGGGCTGGGTTAGGTTTGGTTAGGTTAGGTTGGGTTAGGTTAGATTAGGTTGGGTTAGGTTAAGTTAGGTTAGGTTAAGTTAGGTTTGGTAAGGATAGGTTAGATTAGGTAAGGTTGGGTTAGGTTTGGTTAGGTTAGGTTGGGTTAGATTATGTTGGGTTAGGTTAGGTTGGGTTAGGTTAGGTTAGCTTAGATTAGCTTCGGTTAAGTTAGGTTAGGTTGTGTTGGATTGGGTTAGGTTAATTTATGTTAGGTTGGGTTAGGTTAGGTGAGGTTGGGGCGCCGTCTTTGGTAAAATTTCGTCCTTCCAAAGAGTCGCTACCTTTGGCGTCGATTGTCTAGTATTATTCCGAATGTCATTCTATAGTTATATGCGTCTTCTGGCGTCTTTTAATGATTCCACTAGGCGTTGCGACGCTTGACGTCGGTTTTGTAGTTGAGTATTCAATGTCATCTACGACTTCTATGCGTCTATTTTCAGTTATTTGCAGGCGTCGCGAGGATAAGCGTCGCGACGCCGGGCGTCGATTTCCTATATTCGCCCCGAATGGTATTCTAAGTGTCTGAGAAACTTTCCTGCGTTATTGTGGTGGCGTCGAGATGGCAGGCGTCGCGACGCTTGGCGTCGGTTGTCTCGTATGTTTCCAGTATCATCAGGAGACAATTCCGCGGTGATTTTGGAGTCTCGCGAGGGCGTACTTATGTTCTGCGTCGCGAAGTTTGGCGTCCATTAACTAAATTCCTAACCAGTGATGTTGCAAGGCCTCCAGGGAACTATCTGACTTTGCGTTAGGTTAGGTTGGGTTAGGTTAGGTTAGGTTAGGTTGGCTTAGGTTAGGTTAAGTTAGGTTGGGTTAGGTTAGGTTAGATTGGGACGGCGTTTTTGGTAAAATTTCGTCTTTCGAAAGAGTCACTGCCTTTAGCGTCGATTGTGTAGTATTATTCCGAACGTCACATCATCGTCATGTGCGTCTTCTGGCATCTTTTGATGACATCACTGCGCGTCGCGACGATCGGCGTCGGTTTTGTAGTTGAGTATTCAATGTCATCTAGGAACTTCTGTGCGTCAATTTTTAGTTATTTTCAGGCGTCGCGACGCCGGGCGTCGATTTTCTAAAGTCACCCCGAATGTTATTCTATGTGTCTGAGAATCATTCCTGCGTTATTGCGGTGGCGTCCTGATGGCAGGTGTCGCGACGCTCGGCGTAGGTTGACAGGTATGTCTCCAGTATCATCAGGAGACTAGTCCGCGATGATTTTGGCGTCTCTCGAGGGAGTGGTGATGTTCGGCGTCAAGAAGCTGGGCGTCTATTCACTAAATTCCTGACCAGTGATATTGCATGGCCTCCAGCCATGTATCTGACGTTGGGTTAGGTTAGGGTAAGTTGTGTTAGGTTAGGTTAGGTTGTGTTAGATTAGGTTAGGTTAGGTTAGGTTGGGTTAGGTTAGGTTGGGGCGCCGTCTTTGGTAAAATTTCGTCCTTCGAAAGAGTCGCTGCCTTTATCGTCGATTGTGTAGTATTATTCCGAACGTCACATGATCGTTATATGCGTCTTCTGGCGTCTTTTGATGACATCACTGGGCGTCGCGACGCTCGGCGTCGGTATTCTGGTATGTCTCCAGTATCATCAGGAGAGTAGTCCGCGGTGATTGTGGCGTCTCTCGAGGGCATGGTGGCCTAGAGGCTGTGCACAGCAGTCCCTGTGCGTCATTGAGACGGTATGTCAGAGACAGGCCACGCCAGA